TTCGCAGAGGAAAACACTTGTGCAAGAGTGATGCACAGGGAGACAAATTGTGCAAAAGGGTGGTCAGGCAACTCAGATCCCTTACACGAACTGCAAAAGGCGATGCAGTGTACCACTGCAGCGTGAGGATGGTGGATGGTAGTTGAACATACAAAATGGTAGAATTTGCACCCAAGTCGGAGATTAATCGATAAAACAGTAGTTAAAAAGGAGAGAACTCTAAAGGAATAAGATTTCACGATACGAAATTACAAATCATTCAACTTAAATCTGCCTACGCAAACCTAACACACACTTTGGTTTGGTATGCGAAGTATAAAGAATTTCAACATGTATTTCCAAAAATAGACGGTAGAGAACTGTTTCGGTATCGATTACGGACACCGCTGATGGCAGGTGATTTTGTGTTGCTTTAGCACATTGACAACAAAGAACGCACTTCACAACACACCGAGGGTGTTTCATAAAGTTGGAAATTGAGTTATAAAGGAGTTAAAATGTTTAACAATGCTAAGTGCGCGTAAATCGCCACTAAAGTTTAGTGAAATTTTTTGCTTAACAGCGCATTGGACAACGACAAACCATAAAAAAATAAAGAGTTTGTGTACAAAATGAAACCTAAATATATCCCAGTGCCATGGCGGGCAAGCTCTTTAAATCCCATCAAAGAATGTCAAGCTGCCTTTAAAAGTTCAAAGCAAATTTTCTCCTAGCACTAGTTTACGGTTTGGATGAAAAATACAAAAAACCTTCAAACATCACGAGTTTACTTACTCTAGCCTCGATTTTCTGTTCCCACTACATTCAAGGTCATACCTCAATAAATACATATGATGAATACAAACGAAAAACAAGAGTTATAATTTATTTTAGTAATTATAAGTTTGTTTGCCAAATAAAAGCGTTTAATGTCCTGAAAAATAAATTTCAGCAAAATCTTTTTTATTTGAAAAATGACCGGGTTGTATACATCGTGTTTAAGTTGTCCACTGCCCTTTCTGTTCTGTAAAAGATGCCTAATAAAGCCTGTAATATTAAAGCCTGAGACTTGACTGAGGGCCTGATTAGCTCTTATTTCGAAACAATATCTTAAGAGCTATTTTGAGGAAATTCTGTCAAGTCTCATATCTGCAAACTGTTGGTAACTGCTTTTCAAGCGTAACGACCCATTGTTTTCCCTGTTTAGTTTATATTTTTTACTACATCTAAATGCTTTGATGGGGCCGAGCGATGGCAACATACTCGTAATTTAAATTATCATTCTTTCTTTTTTGACGTTGAACAAGGTTGAGTCTATTACATATGTAGCGATTGTTGTGATTCGTTTGGATCTTGTAATCGTGTGCTGGCCTTTGATTTAGGCCAAGCACCAAATCCTTCCCTCTTCCCCCACAAATATAATCAGCCTAACATAATTCTGTTTTATCAAATGGAAGCCTTAATGCAACGCACTGCAGGCCATGATAAGCGAACTCTGACATGTATCCACGGTGAGAAGGAAGCGCATATACTTGGGATTGGAGATTTTCCTGATTGTTTACAACGGAACTGTTGAGAACGATGCCTGTTTTAGCTTCGCCCTCTTCCACAGACCAGCTATTAACAACTTCAGCGACGCAGCTGTAAACTGTCTGGTAAAGCTTTATTTCGGAATTCTTTCTGTTAAATCCGTGCACAGATATTGGAGGGTGACCCTACTCTGGATCCTCTTCCATGCAGAATTCTTGCAATTCATCATTTTTAGGTTAGTGCACCGATGTCTTGTACCGGAAATAATTGATGGTCAACAGATGTATACGGTCCTGATTTCTGTTGTCAGATCGAATATAAATCGAGATCCAGTTGAAGCTGCTAAGAAGGTCAAGTGAGATATCTCAATCTCATGGTTGTAATGCTTTGTTTATGTGACTACTGTACGTTTGGCGGTCATTATATAAATTAATCTGGCCCCTTCACACGTGGTCTGGCCTTCGGGCGACGAATACATGTATTCAGCCTCACTTATGCCTTCTACTACCCTATAAGAAGCCTCGGGACGCCACAATGGTAGCTAGTGCCTTGCGCGGCTGACTCATAAGTGCTTTCTTGCAGTACTGAATATGCTGTGATGGCTGGTGTGGGAGGTGTACCAAGAGAAGCGTCGCAGACGTCGATCAAAAGGAAAGAGAGGCAGTATAGTGCTTTGTTTACGGTAACACCTAATAACCAGCCGTAGCCTCCTTATAATTAATGGGAAGGTCCGGGCAGCTACAGTCACTCCTTCTACTCCAGTTATTAGCTCAGTGCCACTACTGTATATTGATATTTTCCATTTGCTTAATGGGCTGCTATCTGAGCCATTTTACAACTTCGAATCCCTCCGTAATTCTGAGACCTATGTTTGGCTCAAGCGTTACTCCAAACTCAAGATATATTTGGAAACTAAGAGAAGGTCTATAATTGGACCGAATACATGTGTTTGGTTGAAGTGTACCAAATTTTTTGGCATCGCTCAAAGTCCAGCCTACCTAACTGAAAATTACCATTTGGCACTAGGCAAAAAAAAATAGTAATGCCTTGTTCGTTTGTTCATGGCCGTCATACCATGCCAAAGCCCATTCCCCTTCATTGTCTTCTTGAATACGTTCAATATGCCCACTCAATGCCTTCTTCTACTAAATGGGCAAGTCTCGATCGACACAGAAATCTCGTGGTTTTAAGAAAAGGAGAAGGGCTAAGGCTCAGCCAAGAACAAGACGAAAACCAGTGAGTGCAAACCATATAATTATTCGAATCGACAAGGCAAACCATTGCCCCTCTCTTCTAATCAACAATGTTTCTGACATTCTTAGCATGCCTCCATCATTAGACATCACAACATGCTCATTACTGCAGGGAAGAACCCACGAGCCAGCTGTGCCAATCACCAGCTATCGTGAGAGTAAGAGAGCGTACTTAGTCCTCGCAGCAGCTTTGCCTGCATTCGAGACTCAAAGCCGGGGCGTTTTGTTGATCAAAAATTGTGGTCTGGGACATGGGGAACATTGGCACAATACGGATACAGAAAGGGATAAGCGAGATTTAGCACAGTTCCTTGAGGAAGGCGGTTTGGCGTAATGTCATTGTAGGACCCCAAGACTTACTACTACATGGAATAAGGCATTAAGTTTGACTTAGCTCGATAGCCAGCCAAACTTCTGGTGGTCAAATAAACAAGGCATTGCAATCATCATTGACATCTACAAGCAAAAATGGGTAATGTGGTCCGCAAAACGAAACTTTAGACATGTATCACACTGGTGCCAGTTTGACCTTCAATGCCTTTCCTCAAAGCGTCGGAAAGAGATAGATGCCAAACGCGGACGACCAAGGTATTACATTTGTGCGTGATGGTTACTTTCGTACAAAATTTTGCTTTTGGCTAAGCAAACGGATATTCGGGCCATGCCGAATCTCTACATCTTCCTTTTCTTTTTGTTAACAAGCATTCAGCTACGCTTACTCTCTTCTACTACTAAATGAAATGGTTTGAGATGTCGTTCGTTAATCGAATAAGCTAGAAAACTTACTGTAATGTATAATAGTTTGCTTAAATTGGCATTTGTATAGGAGAGGCTGGAAAGAAATTCAAACACGAATCCATTGCGTGCGGAGTGTGAAGGCACCCTCCCAGGGTGACAACAGTTTTCCTCCTCATCAACCCACCTCCATTTCCTTTCTTTCTGAGCATGATGCCTGATAAAACTTCATCCAAATATGAAAATACACAATGAATCTATAATTATTTATTTATACAGTTACGTATGTAATATGCATTAGTTTGTTTAAGTGCATTTTTATAGGTGAGAGGCGGGAACCAATAAGGAAAGTGGATCACTTGCGTGAAACCGGCGAGGAGCCTCCCTCTGATTGATATCTCCCACTCACCTCATCTGCATCCCACTCCCTGTCCTTCCTAATAGCAGTGCCTAATAAATCGTCTGCAACCAACTTCCTCTTGAAGTCTGAAGATCAGGGATCAGAGGGTAGACACACAGTTCCTACAACGTCCACAAAGGAATTCGCGTTGTTTAACATCTCAAGGCCTGGCCTCCGGGCCAATCCGGAGGCCTAACTCTCTCTCTTCATCCTCAATATAAATGATTAGCTTTACAAAATGGTTCCATCTACATAGCAGAAGGCCTGAGGACATTCGATTCATTGATACTGTTTGTGGTTTCCTTCATATAAGTGCTTTAAGTTATCAGAACTATGGAAACTGGGTCAAAGGTTGTAGTGTTATTTATTACAACCCATCGTTATTCGGTAAATATAAACACAGAGTTGGCCAATCACCTTAGGCTCTTAAAATGAGCTTTTAGTAAACAAAAAGCTAAGAGTTTTTTAAAGTATTTATTACAAAATTAATCGCGAAAAATAAGAAGAGTGCAAGCCAGTGCGTCAGTATTCGTGTGAGATTACTCTTATGATGTGAGATTATTTTGTTTTAATTCTTCACTGAAGCGGTCCTTGTGTGTGGCGCCTCGTTGAGTTACCCTTTGCTGTCGTAGGTGAGGACGCTCGTGTCTGGTGTTGTATCGGTGAGTCTGTGTTCCGTCATTAGTTTGAGTTATTAGCAGGGCGATTGATGTCCTATGTATTTTTCTTCAAAATCTCCATTCAAGCGCTTTAATCAACCCCGATAAGTAATATGTGCGCTTGTTTCTTGCAACACTTTAAAACTGTGTTATTCCGACAAAGAAACGCTATAAATTCATTTCCTTCTGCTTTGTTTGGGTTTCCAAGTATCAGTATCGATTGTTTTTATTTGCTCTTGCAGTTGACTTTCATTATGTTTTCTTTCGAATCAACGCTTCGATTGTATTACACCTGCTTATCCTTTGACCGCAAATAACTTTTGGTTTCCGAAGCCATGGTGTGCAACTGGAATACGATGTGTTGTGAATTGGCTGTTTTTACTTAAGTGTAACCTTTTTTTATTCACCCACTATTGAAGGTTCATGTGATCTCCCGCCCATCAAATGACTTCCAACTCGGAAGGCCACTGCAGCTTCCCACTTTTAAGAGCTCAACCGCTTACCCCTTCAGTCTACCTGCCTTCTCTCGTAGAGAACATTGTCGTAGAATCTTCTTCGCCATCTACCACACCGAGAAGCAATGATAATGTGCCGCAACGTCATAGTAGATCTCATCGAGGCCATTGGCATTCCATACGCATTTGCCGACGTCTTAAGCGTCTGATCTCAAAGCAAAATACCTCTACCGACATCACAACCTTTACTACATCTACTGAACCACGCGTCTGCAATGAACCTTCCACGCCTTCAGAAGATATTACTAGACGTTGTTGCGTCCCCCTTCAACTCTCCTTCCTCCGCAGTTTTTGTTCATCACTCTCCAAGTCATTGGGTCGCCTCACGGGAAGACGAATGCCCAACGAGAATTTATTTGTTCTAAGTATGATTCAGTTACTGTGTGGTCTTGCTGCAGTTGTGCTCTCTGGTGTTGCTGTCACTAAGGTGGTGTTCCTCTATCAGATGGCTACAGGATTGTGGTCTGGCTTTCTAATGCTAGCTACTGGATTTCACGGCATTCTAACTGCGCGTCGTTGCACTCCACGTACACTTGTCAGTCTCCTCATCTTCTGCGTCCTTGTTGCGCTGTCTGCTTGTCTTCTGGCTTGCGTTTCAGTTGCGGGATTGATTGAGGATGGGATCCTCCGACCAGATACTTCAATAACCCTTCTTACCGCATCTAATTCCCCATTCTACCTATCGAGTCATGGTTCCTCTGTCTCATCATCCGGTGTACCTATGGATATCCCTCTGAGTGGATTCTCCCACCGACGTCTTGTCCCTTCAAATCAACCGCCACGATTACATCAAGTTATGCTTCACATTCTTCTCCTCGTTATTGGTGTTCTCGAAGCATCTGTTAGTGTTGCATGCGCTGTTCTCTGCTGCCGACAAATATGTCCCTCGGACAATACTCCTCCTCTCTCTGCCATCTCTTATCTTCAAAACAGAGGAGCTACTTTAGTGCCAGGAGGAAGTGAATTTCTCCTTGCTGTTGCTGCAGATCCTGGGAGGCCTGCTCCAGTCCTTTTAGACTATGCCCTCCCCAGACCAGACTTGCATCCATCTGTGCATCACTTTCTTCCTCATCCAGGTCGTAGAGTTGTAATTTTAACCCAAGCTGAGACAGGAGTGCATGCTCTAGCGGCCGCCCAAGCAGTAGCTAGTTTAGTATCGCCTTCTTCTTCTTCTTCATCATCACAGAATCCTCTTTCTCTTCCTTCTGCTTCCTCTTCTCACCGAGCTCAAAAACGTGAGGAGTCATACCGACTGAAATCCCATCTCTCCACTCTTCTTCCTCGATTAGCTTCGTCATCTGGAGACACTGCTTTTCGTGCCGCTCACCCATCCAACCTTCTCTATGTTCTTTCCTCCCCTTCCCCTTCTGATCCTCCCATGATTTTTCCGCCCTTTCCACCGGCATATTGCGCAGAGGAAGAGAGGGAAGAGACGGGTGGAAACTCCACAGGTCTTTCCTTCCCACCTCAAATACCACTACGTATGCGACCTCAAGAATTTAATGTCGGAACTCTGTCGGTACCCGACATAACCCCAGCTCGAAATGGTAGTCGTCGTAGTGCCAGAAGGTTCAGACCAAGATCAAGGGATGTTCTCGCTCCCAGACACCACTTTCGAGCCTCACGAAGGAGTCGCAGAAGTAGCAACGCAGCTGATGCTGTGGTGGGATTGTTGGGTGATCGGATTCTGCAACCTGTCCTGGTTGTAGAAGATGCGGAAACAGATCCAAGAGGTCCGGAGGACAGGAGCAACCCTCCACCGAGTTACACTGTCTCTACAAGGGAGGTGTCTGGCCTTCTGCTCCCTACTCCTGAAGTGATGCATCCATTCTAGGGGTGAGAGTTCAACTAACTTTTTTTGTACAGATTTGAATCAAATTATACTTAAACCTAGTAGTACACAAAAACTGAGGATTATTTCGCATAAAAAAGAACCCACGTTGGTGTGAGTGAGAGGTTGAGATTTTCGCACCAAATTGCACAAATGTGCACACCAACACACACACACACACACACACGCACACCAAATAGCCCAGATAGACCCTGCGATCTGGTGCGCGAACTTCGCATTGTCTATGTAGAGGCCAAAGGAGGACCATAGTTCTGCAACTATTTTTCTTAAAAAAACTTAAACGTTCTCCAACTACGAAGTCTATTTAATGGATACTAACTCCACGAATAACGTCTCGTTCCTTTGCCCATTTCCTTTCAGTCATCTTTTTTTTTTTCTCCAAAAGTTAGCTGTGTTTCTGAAATATATTTTGGGTTATTGGAAAGTGGAGTTTTTTTTTCTTCCTCCACTGTTCATTTACTATGTTAAGGCGGCATCCGTTTTTTTCTTCTGCCTTAGGTGTCAACCAGGTGGATACGTGTTAATTGCGTCCAGACTATCAATTATTACTAACTCCGTCATTGCTTAGCTGGGGACTATCTCATGGGACCAGGTCATTTCTACTTGTTAAGACAACCAGTCATTTTGTGTCATTCCTTCACCGGCATTGGTTTTGTCACAGTGATTGTGCTTGCATTTAAAAAAGGCGGAAAAAAAACCATTTTTTTGACAAAATAGCTTCAGGACGTGGACGGTGAGTCATCCACCACAATGGCTTAAATCCTGGGGAATGAGACTTAAAAGACGCATCCCATATGTTAGCTATCATATTTAGTATCTGGAGTTGGTCTTTTCTGTGGTTCTTGTGTTTGTGGAGTCGCATTTACCTATCAGTTGATTTGTTAATTGAAGAGACGTGCTTGGGTGGTTCCGCCTGAAAGGGCGAAGCATGCGCCCCCTACTGACTGATTGGCTTTTGGTTGTGTTGGTGGTAGCGACAAAGTGCTGTCAAAATTTTGGCCTCATCAATTTCCTTCCTACTTCTTGGTCGCAGTTTGCGGAGAAGGCTTGAAATGGCGTTATTTTTTCGCCTATGTGATTGCAAGTGTTGGTAATTTATGCACCAAGAGTTGGCTTGATTGGATGAGGATGTTTTTCTCCTCCACACACTCATTCGACAGATGGTGAGCCTTCATCTGGCTAGAGGGAAAGGACAAACAGGATGTAAATAACTCATTATTGGTCTCTCGCCATATGGGCTTCTATTATACTCCCCTTGGTACTTGAGAACCATTTGCTGCTGTTTGCCGTCGGCAGGTTTGTCACGGCATCCTTTGAAGTCACCAGGTAGATTGGAGTTACCCCGTAGAACCAATGGAATCCCTCATTTATGCAGGAAGTGGGTTCAGATGAATTTGGCAATCGTGCAGAAGACAGACGTGACCCAACGCCAGGACAGCGTAGGATAGCGATGGATTGATAAGGTGAATACTTGACAGGTGCTCCAACTCCTCTCTTTTGGCCAGTTATTTCCAAAGTTAAGGTAAATCAAATTAGAAGGCTTACATTTCTATTGATCTGAGTTGGCTGGAATACTCACACCTCAGGGCTTATCACTTTGAGAAAAAGCTGTTCCACACTGATAACTCAGCACTCCTGTGAGTAGGAAACCTATTAACCTTCCTAACCTACAAAATCGCCAGTCCAATTTGTGTAATTGCCTACTCAATTTTACCTCTTATTGTAGGACGCACTTTTGGCAGCATTAGCAGCAGCAAGAATGTGTGTGTGTGTGTGTGGTTGCATATGTATTTGAATCCTCTCTTCCCTACATTAAAGTACACTACGACAACAGATGCTTGAACTGAGTTGGTAAATTGGGTAGTTAGTTGGGCACGGAGATGGCCTAAACATGTCGCTTCGTGTTTCCATTTTTTTCGCCCTTGCCTAAGGGTCACCCCCCCCCTCAACCTAGTTATCGTGTGTACTTTTCTCGCCTTTTTCAAGGTCATGTCAAATCCTGATGACCATCAAACAGCGCCTTCGTTAAAACGGCAATCTCGATCGCCACAACTCCCTACTTCTTTCCTTCCTTTCCCCCCTCTCCCCAACACACACACACAAACAAAAACTTTCCTAATGGTTATCTATTTTTTATAATCTCCTTTCCCGCTTCAGAGATGTTTGGTTTGCCCCTACAAACCAAATGTACACACACATGCATGGAAATGCGAGGCTTATGTACGTCACTTTCCCTACCCTCTATTCCCATTTCCGTCCCTCCTCCCCCACTCCCTTCTTCTTACTTTATCGCTGACGCTCAAATAAAATGAGTGCCTCTACTTACGCATCTCTTAATCCTCAGAAAGACAGAAAGGCAAGCAAATCTAGTCAAGTCCGTCCATGACGGGCTTCAGTAGGGGAATGAGTGTGTCGTCTGCCAGTTGGTGACATCGGAACTTCTTGTAGGCGTACACAAAGTCGTCTACTGATATGGATAGATTGCGAGGACGCCTGAAAGGATGAAAGAGTCAAATCAGTTCGAGGCTGCGGCAGTGCATGAGGATAGGTAGTGTATGTGTGTGTGTGTGTAGCGGACCTGAATTGCTGCTGACAACCATTGCTAAACAGGAGGACAGGCAACAGTGGTAATGCGTGTGCGTAGGAGTGTTCAGTAAGGCGTCGCGTGAACAAAGGCGTAAAACTTGTCCGTGCTTGTGCATGTCCTTCAGAGACATTTGCACAGTAATGCCATGCTGGTAGACAACCCCCTCACCAAGCAGCGATTGACAGACGTCACCGTAAACGTTGATCCACGCCCAAGAAGCCAACTTATCGGAGAAAAGCACAAGGTCCAAAAGGGTCTAGCAGTGCCTCATTCCAAAACTCTCTCGCCTGATAACAATTAAGTTAAGTGGTCGAGATATCTCATTTAAAAGGCACTTTTTTCTTCAATTTCCAAACACAAAACACGGGTAGAGCTGAGAAGGAGAGAAGTGGGTTGATCCACCTCCTTTTATGCGCCTACTCAATTGAAAGTATGTGGGTGGATCACATGAGCCAATCCTTGTTTTTCCAACAAGGTGACGGAAGTGCCATTGCTGACCTTGGAATTTAAGTTCAACGTCAAAGAAAGCAATGGAAGGGTTCATTTAAATCACAACTTGCTTCTGATTGACAGCAATCTTTGGTATTTGAGAGATTGGAGCGATTTTCATGACTCCATGACCGACTACACCAGTGCAACCAAAACTCCATAAATTTTCATGGTAAAGGAAAAGTTCTTTTTAAGTAAATCAGCAAAATTATTTTTTCCATGTTAAAGGGAATTTCCGCCAAAATTATTTACTTAGAGTTGATTGGTGGAATAGAGGTCTCAACATAACCCCTACACCTTTAGCCGAGTTTTTCCCACTTCCGGCTAGTCCAGTTTTGAAGCAACTCCATCTCCTCGTTGTCGGTCATGCTAGTGTTTTTAGAAGCTGCGCAACACACATTTTTTTCATAAACGGAAATGGAAAGTTGTGAGTTTCTTCACAAATTGATCAAATAGGCTTGAGGAGCTCCAAACTCACCAAATTTTTTTGGGAATTTCAGATGGACTAAGGGATTCAAGACATTGCCTGTTTCGAATCGCCAAAACCAAAAGTCACTAGTCGGAAGTCAAAAAGTCGAAAATGCCTTTAAAATGACCCAGGGACAATTTGATTGGTTGATATTGAGGTCGCGGAAGGCACAACCCTGCCTCCTGCCTAAAGTGGACCGACAAGCGGTTCCCGCCCAGCTTCAGCGAATAAAATGAAATAACAAAATTTGAACTGAATTTAGGTCCCTATTCAGATTACACGTTTCCTATTTCAAATATAGGACGTGGCCTTGAAATAGCTCGACTTCATTTTGATTGGTCAATTTGAAGTCTGGAACATTTAACTGATATGATTTAATAGGAAAAAGCATTTTCCATGCATCTTTTTGCCTTTAAGAATCCCACGTATATAACCTTACATCCTAAAGGTCATCCTGCTATAGACAAGCCTTTATGTGCACTTTCACGAATTGTGCTTCCTAGCCCACGTCAATTCTATCAATTTTAGTGAACAATTAAAGACTGATATTCTGCGAACGGAGTTTTTGTTTCTGTTGGGACAACATTAATAAGAAGTAAAGAGTAGCATGAATAAATCCAGATCAAAGTGAAATAGCCAATTTTGAGATGCTAATACACTTTGA